TTGCTTGAACTGGGGGTTGGACTAGAAGACTTCCCTTGAAGTTCTATTATTCTGTTATATCTGGAGGTTTTGTTAAAAAGAGATCATGCCAAACCAATCTTATTTCATTCTTCAACACAGTGACTAAATTAGTAGACCAGCAAAATACTGTGGACATAATATATTTAGATTTCAGCAAGGCATTCGATAAAGTAGACCACAACCTACTTCTTAGTAAGCTAGAAAAAAGTGGAATAGATAGCACCACCACTAGATGGATTCGCAACTGGCTGGCAACTGGCTGGCAACTGGCTGGCAAACCATACTCAACGAGTAGTCCTTAATGGGTCTAAGTCTACATGGAGGGAAGTAGGCAGTGGGGTGCCACAAGGTTCCGTCTTAGGCCCAGGACTCTTCAATAGCTTCATTAACGACTTAGATGAGGGAATAGAAGGGGAACTTACCAAATTTGCAGATGATACTAAGCTGGCAGGTATAGCTAACACCCAAGAAGATAGGCTCAAGATCCAGATGGATCTTGACAGACTAGAACACTGGACCATATCTAATAAAATGAAATTCAATATAGAGAAAAGTAAAGTCCTACACTTAGGCAAGAAAAATCAAAAGTACACATATAGACTGGGTGAAACCAGGCTCAATAGCAGTAGCTGTGAGAGGGATCTTGGAGTCTTAGTGGACAACCAGCTAAATATGAGCTAGCAGTGTGCAGCAGCCGCCAAAAAAGCTAATGCAATCCTAAGTTGTATTAACAGAGGGATACAGTCAAGTTCAAGGGAAGTACTAATACCACTCTATAAAGCCTTAGTAAGACCACACTTATAAAGCCTTAGTAAGACCACACTGCATCCAGTTTTGGTCACCACATTATAAAAAAGATGTTAAGACTCTAGAAAAAGTACAGAGAAGAGCAACCAGGATGATTAGGGGACTGGAGGCTAAAACATACAACGAACGGTTGCAGGAACTGGGCTTGGCTAGTCTAGTAAAGAGAAGGACCAGGGGCGACATGATAGCGGTCTTCCAATATTTGAGGGGCTGCCACAGGGAGGAAAGGGTCAAGCTATTTTCTAAAGCTCCTGTAGGCCAGACAAGGAATAATGGATAGAAACTGAACAAGGAGAGATTTAACCTGGAAACAAGGAGAAACTTTCTGACAGTGAGAACAATCAACCAGTGGAACAGCTTGCCCTCGGAAGTTGTGGGAGTGCCATCACTTGAGACTTTCAAGAAGAGATTGGACTGCCATTTGTCAGAAATGGTATAGGGTCTCCCGCTTGGGTGGGGGGTTGGACTAGATGACCTACAAGGTCCCTTCCAACTCTGATTATCTGTATCTGTATCTGAGGTTTTCTTATTGGCTAGGTCTCATGCTGCTACACCACCTGGACAATTTCTGACTGGCTAGGTCTCATGATGTGCCATCTAGTGTATAATACTTGAATGTTGATTTGTGGGAGAATTCTGATTCTTAGATGTCTGCAAAGATTACAAAATTCAAAACATCGTTCTACTCAACATATTTCTTGCCAAGTGGATATTTGGCTACTCTGATACTCCTCCAGTACTATTGTTCAAACTGCCTATGCATTGATACTAATTGATTTTGAACACAACAATTTTCTAGCTTTGTGCTACCCTTTTTAAGGGGTGATAATCAGAAATATACATGACATACCAAGTGTGTTTTCTTCATAGATATATCCAAAAGTATTATTATACTGGCAGTTATATTTTCAATTCTTTTCCTAACAAATCCCAAATATGCAGTTCACCTGGGCTGATATTTTCATTGAGTTGTTAATCAATATCCCTTTTCTGGTTAAAAAAAGTTGGGAATATTTGCCTTAAAATTTTTCCCCTACATTGAACACTTACTGACATCTCTCAGAAAAGATTCAAAGGCATCTGGATTTTATGTTACCCACAGACCAGATTTATTTATATAAAGCACTGATATGGATGGGTAACTCTGGGAGATGTACAAAAAACATCAAACACGAAACACAAAAGAAAACAACACACAACATCAAAAACTGAAACAATTACATGTAGATTGGAACTGAAGTATACTATAGACAGTCCTTGTCAAGGTTATGATAGACCCCCAAAAGAGACTTATGACCTGGATTCAAAGTTCCAACATCTGCCTATTCCCATGCTCACATGCCCACGTTCTGGGCACACGGCAACTGGATGTTTTATCTTTTTGGTTTGAAGCGTTTTGCTGCTTGTGCAATTAGCTTCTTTAGTCACATACTCCCTTTATAAGCAAAGTTAGATGGCAACTGGCTACAAACTTAAAGAAGTTTGCCAGAAAATTGCTGCAGGCTCCAACTGATGATCTGACTGTAAACTGAAATGATTATTCCTTCTTGTTGCTGATGCCTATTAACCCAACTGCTTTCTAAAAATAATTTCATTAGAGGCACCTAGAATATGCCAGAGCTGGGGAAATTACCTCAAAATCCCTGAGGAAGATATTTCTATAAAGGGTGGTTATGTTTTCTGCTTTCTTCATCTTAGAAACTTTATAATTGCACTCCCCACCCTGTTTCCTCATGTTCTGATGTCTAAATTCTTTTCCTGACTGTTGATTCTAATCATCACCCATGTCTGGATGAAGTGTCCCCTCAACAAAGCACAGAAACTTTGTCAGAATGTAACTAAAAGGAAAAGAACTTTGGGATTTGAAGTCTATTCAGTTTCTGGGATTATATTAATTGAGTAGTGCTTAATTGTAGTCATGTATCATATTTATTTTATTATGTAGCTTATTGCTCTTTTGTTGCATTGACTGCAAGAGTTGCTTTTGTATAACAATTAGAATTGCCTTACTGAACCAGTTTCTACATTCAATAAATGAAAATTAATGAATAGAATTGAAGATTCCATTTTAAATCCCATTTAAAACAAGATCTCAATTCAATTCAATGTTTGAAAAGGATCTGCAGGGATACCTTGCTTTCAGATTTTGGGCACAAAGAACACAGGCAAAAGGCTGAGGGTGAGGAAAAAAGGAAAGAGAAAAGAAATTTTAAAAGAATTCACACTTAAGTGGCTGTCCTTTAGAGGTAATAGCATCCAGTTATGAAGCTTAGTGGATGTTGTAGGCTGTCTTTCACTGAATAATCTACTTAACAGAATAAATCAGTTCCTCAACTTTATCAACTTTAAAATGTGTGGACTTCAACTTCCAGAATTCTCCTACTCCTGGAATTCCATGCTGGCTGGGGAATTGTGGGAGTTGAAGTCCAGACTTCTTGAAGTTGCCAAGCTTGAGAAATACTGGAATAGATGCATGACAAAACTGGAGGATGGATATGTCAATGGCTACGGGTGACCTCAAATGACTATGAATGAATAAAAATAAAGTAAATATCCTTTAAGCTGCATTTACCCTATTAACAGAACTGTAACACTATGGGTGCATTAAAAGACTTCCTGCAAGACTGGTTTGATTCTTCGGCATAAAACTGGAAATGTGGGAAACAGAATCTGAAAACAGCAGGTACAACATTGTGCGGATGATTAAATCTTTTCTCTGTCAATTGTTTTTCTAGCTCAGCTTGAAGTACTACTCTAAAAATTTGATTTAACTGTCCGAAATGTAATTTGTGAACAGGTTGCTAAGCCATTTTACTTTTAAGGGATCCCTTGTTCAGTTGATGCTCATCAAAGAATGGCTTTTTAATTGTTCAGAGGTCCTCACTTTGCAACCACAACTGAGATCGGAATTGCAGTTGTGAGTTGTTGTGGTCATTAAGCAAGATGCCCACATGACTGCTTTGCTCAACAATCACATTCCTAAAAGTCTATGGAGATTCCCAGTCATCCAGGTCATGGTTGTCGCAAAGGTGCTTTTTCAGGAGGCAACTGGACTTTCTTGTTTTTTATTGTTTTTACTTCTCATCCAAGAAGCTTCTTCAGCAACCTTCCATTCCCCACCATCCAGTCCGAGCTGAAGAAGCTTCTTGGATGAGGAGCGAAATGTCTTCAAAGAAAAAACAAGGAAGTCCAGTTGCTTCCTGAAAAAAGCACCTTTGGGACAATCTCATTCCTAGCATTTTTAAGCGAGCATGCAAGTTGTTGAGCAGGGTTGCCTCAGACCCTGGGAGGCCCGGTGCAGACCAAGCATGAGATGGAGAGGTGCTGCAATGCAGTACAAAGCTTCAGCTGTCCCAGACTGGCCCTGCAGTGCAGCACTTTTGGTGGAAGCACTGGGCCTAGCCCTGAAGTAGAAGCATGGGGCCTTCAGCAGTCAGTTCAGCTGCCATCACCCAGGCCTCGATTTCATTAGTCTTAGCGTCACCACTGCCGTTCAGAAATGCCAGCTCACATTGTTCTCCAAGGCGTCTGACCATTGGGGAATAGCATGATTGGCCCCATCACCCCAGTGCTCCCAAGATTATGCCAGACATAGTTTACCTTCAGGTGTTTTTCTCCTGCTGTTGAGAGTCTCAAGTGGCCCATCCAATGCAGCTCCTGGTTGCACCAGGCCTTCTTCCCCAAAGCCGCCTTTGGAGCCAATTCCAACAGAGCTTTGAAAGTATTTTAAAGCATCAGATAGGCCTACATGAAAATCTCAATAGCAGGAGCAAACTGACTGGAATGTCCAGCTGATCTTGGGGAGGGTTGTGCAGTGGGGACAATTGCCTAGTTTTCCAAAGCTCATGTGTCTTGGAAAATGGCATAATTGCCTCGGTTTTATGCTGCCTACCTTCAAGGGCCTAAAATTTTAGCACATGACTGCAGGGCTGCTGCAATATTGTAACTCTGGGCAGAATAACAGAGTTGGAAGGGACCTTGGAGGTCTTCTAGTCTAACCCCTGCTCAAGAAGGAAATCCTATAACATTTCAGACAAATGGTTGTCCAATCTCGTCTTAAAAACCTCCATTGTTGGAGCACCCGCAACTTCTGGAGCCAAATCATTCCACTGATTGATATTCTAACTGTTAGGAAATCTCTTCTTAGTTCTAGGTAGTTCTAGGCAGCATAGTCATCATTCCCTATCACCTTCATAATTTCAAATGGTGGTTAAGGGAGGTCATATGCACCACCAAAGACTTTGTGACAAACCTAACTAATGAATTTTTAGTATGCTCTTCTCTTATTACTACAACTATTAGAAATGTATCAAGGCATATTTACTATAACCCATCTTATTCATTTGCATTTGACCACTTGATTCAATGGCAATGGATTTTAAATGATAAAAGGTTATGAAATCTTGAAATCTAATCATGGAATAACAACAACAACAACAACAATAACAATAGTAATAGTAATAATAATAATTGACAAATTCATTGTCAGTCAATTGCAAAAGGCAGCTGTACTCGGAACAGCTGACATCCCGTGACGATACCTCTAACATCATAAAACATCAGGTCCTCAGGAAGAACTTGATAAGTGGACAAAAATTCCGAATACAGTCTGAATATTTGGCTAACTGTACGATGAATCAATAATTAAAAATGTCTAATCCAGCCTAAACATTTGCCTGACTATGCTTCGAGCTATAATAGATCAAAAATGCATTCCATTCAAGCCATAATTCAGTTAGTCAGTCTTTGGCAAAAAGGTACTTACTGAAGACATTCATCTTGTTAGCTTGTAGACTGTCAATGGCAATGCTTGGAAGAAGATTTACTGATGCTATGCAAAGTGCTCTAAACACTTTGATTCACTTGTTGAGAGGATGCTTTGGAGAATGCTTTTATACCCTAACCTTCTCCCCTACACTTTTATCCTCTCCTCCCATTCTAATTATACAAGGAACAAGGAAATCAACTCTCTTGAATTTACACCAGGGGTGTGATTTAACCGGTGTAACAACCAGTTCAGTGAGTACATGCTTTGCGCGCGTGCATGCCAAATAGGTGCTTTGTGCACGCGCAGAGGGTTTGCTACTGACCTTCTCCTGCAATCCCCCTGTGTGTTAAACAACTGACGCATGGCAATCCGCTGTGCTGCCCGAAGCAGCTGAGCTTGAAAAACAGGAAATAAAGGTCAGAATAGAGCCAGGGTGGGCGGGCGAGCCCAGCAGCGGATCGTCGGAGCGAATCGGTTGGCTTGCAGATGTTCCTCAGAGCTACCAGTTTGGCCAAACTGGGCCGAACCAGTAGAATCTCACCTCTGATTTATACCTACAAGGAACCTACATGAAAGGTTCTGAGAACTATTCAGGAATTTTAGATGCTGCTTATACATCTGTACCTTATTTGTTTCAGCTGACTATCATTTCACATCCAAAATCCTCTTGCAATAATCTAAATAGTTTTAAAAACTTGATTAAACAAGATGGCTGAGGAATTCTGGGAGTAAAAAGTCTGCACATTTTAAAGATGCCAAGGTTGAAAAACATTGATCTACAAGAACCTTTCTCAACCTTTTTATCCTAGAGGAACCCTTATAATAAATTTCAAGTTTTAAGGAACCCCTGTATAAAGGTCACAAAACTATAAAAGCAATACAGTTAACTTCTAGCCTAAATAATACATATTTTACAAGAGTTACAACACCAGCATAGTAACAGGCTAGCAGTTAAATTATAGCACTTAAATATGTCCATTAGAGTGAGCAAGTGTGCAAAGTTTAAAAAAATCAGATTTACAGGCTTTTTCTGTGACAAACTCTTGCAGAATCTCTGGATCTGAGGAATTCCAGTTGAGAAAGGCTGAAGTATTAATAACCTATGAATTCCCACCAAACTCCCCCTTGAATTTTCAGATTGGGATTATTCGAAAATAAATTTAGTATATTGATAAGGGTCAAAATTATACAGCTGTTCCAATATCCTCCAAATATACTTTGTAAACCTTAATATAATTAACCTAAATAGAGAACAATTTTGATTAAATTCTGACGTGATTCAAGAGAGGTCCTACAATATATTTAACTGTGTCCATAGTGGGCTTTGGACTTAATTGCCTGGATTTTTTAGAAAAATACAGGTCATATATATGGCCAATGAAAAAGAAAAGCAAGCTGGAAAGATAAAAAATCCTGTTATTGTATTCTAGCTATAATTAAGATAATGAAAATTCAATCATTTGTCATTCCATTAAATTGATGGCACATAATCAATAAATCAATATGGAGATTCCTCCAAATCTATACATACCAAACATTTATTTTACAACTTTTAGCTTTTCCCAAAATCTCACTAGATTTTAACCATTTATTTATATTTAAATTAATCTGAGACAGTTAGAAATAAAGGCAATTTAAAACATCAAATAAAGCCCCAGTTTTTAGATTTGCATAGATATGTTAGAGACCAGAGGAAATTTTGTGTAACTAATTATCTGAGTAACCTAATAATATGCCAAAGCTGTATCAATTTATTTTGGTATGGCGCATTTATACTGGAATATAAATAAGACTTAATGTATTATTGGCATACAGAACAATCTGTGATCAGCTCAGCTTTGTTTATGCTCTGGGCAGCTTTGGTTCTCTGATCAGACAAACCAATATTTGATTACACATAAGTTAATGTTGATAAATATTGCAATATTGAACATTTATTTATTTGTTTATACATATCCTGCCTTTAATGTTTTTATAAATAACTCAAGTCAGAGAACATACCTAATGTTCTTTTTTTGTCGTATTTTCCCCACAACAAAAATCCTGTGAGGTGGGTTACTGACAGGCCCAAAGTTACTCAGCTGGCTTTCATGCCTAAGGCAGGACTAGTACTCCAGTCTTAACCGCTAGACTAAACTGGCTTTCTAACATAAGCATATTAAACATGAGAGGAGATTGAGAGTTTTCTTGATAATGAGACATCTTAATTGGTCAGTAAATTATCTTGATTAAAGGATTAGAGTAATATGTTTTAATCCAATTAATAAAAATAGAAAGCTCTCGCTATTTTGTTCAGAAATATGTCTTGTATCTAACAAAGCCACTAATAATTTCATTTTTCCTGAATGAAGATCAAAATTGTCCGTTTGTATTATATGAAAGTTGGTTTCCTTTTTTTAAAACTAGATTGCACAGGATGGATAAAGAAAGCTTTGCCAAAGAAAAATGGAAATTAGAAATTAAATATATGAACATATAAGATATATATATTTTCTCTCTATATGTATATAGAACATATATGAATATATGAATATAGAAGGGAGGGAGTTAAGAAGGGGGTGATTACAACGACAAGATATATTATATATACTAGTTCAAAATAAGAATGTAATGTAATTGTTGTTGTTATGGTAAGGAAATTGTATTAACCAGAAATATTATTCATAAGATATTTGTACCAAGATGATACACTGTATAAAGAAAAGATGGAATGTTTGTAAAAAAGGGAAAAAAAGAAAGCCTCGTCAAAATGTTGGCATTTACATTTAGAAAAATCAGGCAGCTAAAACTCTACAGTATGATTTTTCCAAATCAATTATTTAATGCATGTCAAGATCAGAAAGTCTGGCTTAATTTTTAAGTGTATTTATTCATTTTATTTTATTTATCAAACATGTACAAGATAATAAGTATAGGTATGAACATAAAACAGGAACAAAGGAAGTAAATACAGATAAATGGGGACAGTAAGACAGGGACGGTAGGCACACTGGTGTATGCTTATGCACACCCTCTTTAAGGACTTCTTAGGAACGGGGTGAAGTCCAGTTTGAGATTGAAGCTGTGAGGGTTTGAGGCTGTAACAATGGAGTCGGGTAGAGCATTCCAAGCATTGACCACTCTGTTGCTGAAGTCATTTTTATTTTTTTATTTTTTTTGATTTGTCAATCGCTTACAAGATAATAGGTATAAGTATAAACATAGTTAGGAATACATGAAATGGATACATATAAGAAAAATAAAAAGAAACAATAAGACAGGGATGGTAGGCACGTTGGAGATTCTCAGTCATTCAGGTCATGGTTGTCCCAAATGTGCTTTTTCAAGAGGCAATTGGACTTACTTGTCTTTTCTTTGAAGACGTTTCGCTTCTCATCCAGTTTCTTCAGCTCCGACTGGATGGTGGAAAATGGAAGGATTTATACTCCTTACAGACAGCCGGTCATTTGCACGGGGCAGAAAATATCCTGCAGATAGCACAGCTCCAACTTCTCAATGAAAGAATTTGTATTTTTTGTGGACAGTGGTCATTTGCCTTCTTTTAGAGAGTCACTGAGGCCACTTGGAGGTTTATCTGTGTCCTCAGGGTCACCTAAGTAGTACAAGTGGGTGTGGAGCCTTCTTGGAACTGCTGAGAGGACCGTATTGTGGTCTGTCTTGTTCTTTCATTGAGAAGTTAGAGCTGTGCTTTCTGCAGGAGGTTTTCTGCCCTGTGCAAAAGACCAGATGTCTGCAAGGAATATAAATCCTTCCATTCCCTACCATCCAGTTTGAGCTGAAGAAGCTTCTTGGATGAGAAGAGAAACGTCTTCAAAGAAAAAACAAGAGAGTCCAGTTGCTTCTTGAAAAATCATCTTTGGGACTTCTCCAGTAACCTTTGACTTAGTATTATAAAGTAAAGAGTAACAATTAAAGAATACTAATGCATCAGATCAGAATCATTCTATGATGTATGTTTTCCTTGTGGGTATTTACTTATCACCATAGTACTGTTAAAGACACCAACTCCTAAGATTGCCTGGAAATCTCTTATCAAATACTCATCAGACCTATTACTGCTTAGTTGTTTGAAGAAAAGCCAAGATGAACTCAGTGAATTATCAATCATACATCTCTCAATGCGTAACACCTTGCTCATTTGCAAAAGAAGCATTGGGTTGTGGCAATCATTCCTATGACTTTAGTTATAAATCATGGGTTATCTGTAATCCAGAGCACCAATCTGCAAGCATCTCAAACTACAAGAAATTAAACCCTGGGAAGTGGGATTGGGAGAACAGCCAGTATAGACACTTCACCAATCTCTGCAAGGTAGGCCAGAGCAGATGGAGAGCTAACTCTCTTGGTCCCAGATTTCAGACCACAGAATAATGAATTTGAAATGCAGGGAAGCAAATTTTGTTGTTGTTCAGTCACTACATTGTGTCCGACTCTTCGCGACCCCCATGGGCCATAGCACGCACACCCCGCCATCCTCCACTGTCCCCCAAAGCAATCTTAAATTCATACTCATTGCGTTATTGTCACTATCTAACTATCTCATCCTCTGCTGACCCCTTCTCCTTTTGCTTTCGTTTTGTATTTGAGCTTCGGCTTCAGTATTTATCTTTCCAAGGACTGTCAGGCTCGATTTTTCTTTAGGAAAGGAGGCAAATTAAGGGGGGGGGGGAGAACCCCAATGCGCTTGCAATAAAACCATTTCCCAAATGGAATGAATTGGGGGTGAGCTCAGTGCGTTCCAGGAGAGGCTAGAGAGCCATCGGTTGCCATGCACTGGGTAACTGGTTCGTTATCTTATTTTGTTTCAAAAAGTTCCTAAATCCGGAATCCACCTTTTCTCTCTCTTTGGAAAAGAAGGTAATGAAGCTCACTCAACCATGCATATTCGGGGACAAAATGGCCGATAGAGTTGCCTCCAGATCACTTCCCCCCCCCCCCCCCCTACGGAACGCGCCGCTGGGATCAGTTGAGACGAGCGAATTTACAGCTTGTTAAATCAACCCTCGCCGGAACGAGAGTTTTCAGCTGTTATATCCGCAGGGCTGGTGGCTTTCTTTGGCTCCCTCTTTCCTAAATCGAGAGTCGTTTTCCCGTTCGAGCTTTTTGTTAAATAAAAAGAGAGCAACAGTCGGCGGGCATGATCGGGAAATTAAAATACCGTACTTTGGAAACGGAGAGGCTGCGCAATGGCGTTTGGGAGGAAGTTGAGTCTGAGGCGAGACATTTTGAGGTTTTAATGTTAAAATTTTCCGCTTGGGAAGAGGAGAAACGGGTCAGATCGTTACTGGCGCTTGCTTCAGAAGTTTATAGCGAACCCTGAAAAGGCGAGATTTGTGGGGAACAAAAAAGGATCATGTCAGAAGTGGGATTTGAACCCACGCCTCCATTCGGAGACCAGAACACCCAGCACAGGGAAGGAATAAACCTTGAGTCTGGCGCCTTAGACCACTCGGCCATCCTGACATCTGGGAAAATAAGTTTCTGAAAGTAATTACTTAATTGTTCCCATGCTAATTCATTTGTGTACGTGCTTCGGATCTCCTGTAATTTGGAGTCGCTCCCTTTCCTTGTTACAAGGCGTCGCCTTTGGGGATATTAACGGGAAAAAAGAAGCGCCTATGTTGCACAAATCAAATCCAGTCACTTCCTTGGGAACAAAAGTGGGAAAAAGTGCGCCCTGCCTATCCGTTCTTTCCTCTTACTTAATTTATATATAATTGCAAAATCAAAATTATATATCAGATATTGAAGATGTTTGCACAAATGTAAAACAAAGCCACTCTTATTATTAGTGTTAAAAAATACAGGGTGTACGGTTTTATTTCAGTTAATAACTAATGATTTAATGTTATTGTTTTTACACAATGCAATTTCTCTAAATGTGTCAATTTTAACTTTTAATACAATAAACATTGATAAATGTATTTTTATTTGTTTGTCAAGCATGTATAAGAAAACAAGTATAAGTATGAACATAACATATAAACATATAAGTATAAACAGGTATAAGTATATACACATTAAATGAGTACAAATAAATGGGAACAGTAGGACAGGGACAGTAGCAGAGGTGGTATTCAGCAGGTTCTGACCAGTTCTGGAGAACCGATAGCGGAATTTTTGAGTAGTTTGGAGACCTGGCAAATCCCACCTCTGACTGGAGAAGATTTTACAGTCTCCTTCCCCTGCCACGCCCACCAAGCCACAGAACTGGTAGTAAAAAAATTTGAATCCCACCACTGGACATTAGGCCCGGTGGTGTGCTTATGCACACCCCCTCACAGACCTCTTAGGAATGGAATGAGGTCCACGGTAGACAGTTTAAGGTTAAAGTTTTGGGGGTTTGAGGATGTGACAACAGTCAGGTAGTGAGTTCCAGGTATTGACCACTCTGTTGCTGAAGTCATGTTTTCTGCCATTGAGTTTGGAGTGGTTTACTTTGAGTTTGTATGTATTGTTTGCCCGTGTATTATTGTTTATTTATTTATTTATTTTATTTATTTGATTTGCCAATTGTTTACAAGATAATAAGTATAAGTGTATACATAGTTGTGAATACATGAAATGGGTACATATAAGAAAAATAAAAGAAGAATAAGAGAAACAATAGGACAGGGACGGTAGGCACGTTGGTGCGCTTATGCACGCCCCCTACAGACCTCTTAGGAAAGGGGTGAGGTCAATAGTAGACAGTCTAAGGTTAAAGTTTTTGGGGTTTGGGGAAGAAACTACAGAGTCGGGTAGAGTATTCCAGACATTGACCACTCTATTGCTGAAGTCGTATTTCCTGCAATCAAGTTTGGTGCGGTTAACTTTGAGTTTGTATCTATTGTGTGCTCTTGTGTTGTTATGGTTGAAGCTGAAGTATTCATTGACAGGTAGGACATTGCAATGTATGATTTTATATACCATGCTTAAATCAGACCGAAGACGGCGTAATTCAAGGTTTTCTAGTTCTAGAATTTCAAGTCTGGTGGCATAAGGTATTCTATTGTGGTTGAAGCTGAAGTAGTCGTTTACAGGTAGGACGTTGTAGCAGACAATTTTGTGTACTAAGCTTAGATCAGACCGTAAGTGGCGTAGTTCTAGGTTGTCCAGGCCCAAAATTTCAAGCCTGGTAGCATAAGGTATTCTATTGAAAGCAGAGGAGTGGAGTACTGTTCTTGTGAAATACCACTGGGCTTGCTCAGTTGTATTAATATCTGTTATACAGTGTGGATTCCAGGCAGATGAGCTGTATTTGAGAATTGGTGTATGTAACACACGCACACAGAGGTTCTTTTTGGCATCCTCCGTCATTTTTAAAATTGGGAAGGGTTCCTGATAAAATATATATTAAATATACATTAAGAAACGCTGCTCTACTTAAATACTTGTGATGTCGTTCTTTGCCGGAGTTGAACTTATAGCCACACACACTTGAATGGGTGAAGAAACTCATATTAACCCATTGTTGCCCATTACCAGTCTTTTTCCTGATAGGGAAAAAGCGATGGCAACCTCTGTTTTCCAAGGAAATGTATGAGAAAACCTAGCACTGTTTTCCATGTTTCTTAAAATGTGGGATAAGAGGAAAAGATTATGTCAGCATTAGTATGGATGACTTGAGTGTGTCCCTCTCATGGGTTAGACATGGAAGGTCATGGCATGGGGACTTATAGAAGAGAATAGTTGTGGCTCAGAGTTGAACTGTGGGCGTCCCTGGTGCTCTTTGAGTTTGATTCTTCCCTTGCAAATGTTCCATTACCCAACTAGGCAACATCCTCCTCCACAAGAAGTAGCACTGATGGTGTTACCTACTTGGGTAATGAAATGTCTGCAAGAAAACAACCAAACTCAGAGACCACCAAGGACCCCATATGGGGACTTAGCAGGGGGGAAAAAAAACATTGACAGGGAAAGTTGTGCCTGGGTTAAGTACAAGTAGAATCATCACAGTGGACCTATTGATTAAGTTAAATGTGCCAGAATGTTTTAGAATAGTTTTGTCCAGATTTTAAAAAAGATGAATTTGTCTGTTTTGTTTTATAATTTTTTAAATTCCTGTGGAATGTTTAAAAAGTTGTGGCTATGGTTATATTGATCCAACACTGGTTTTTAGTAGTTTTTTTGGGGGGGCAGGGTGTGTGCGGCTGGTGTGTGTGTGTGTGTGTGTGTGTGTGTGTGTGTGTGGCCAGCCCGATGTTCATTTTCGGCCCTCCCAAGCTCCATTTTTGCTGGCAGAGGCACTGCGGGCCAGTTCTTTGCTGTTTCCAGGATGGCCCTGTGGGCCAGATCTAAACACCTCTCAGGCCAGGTCTGGCCTGCAGGCCTTGAGTTTGACACCCCTGTTCTAGAGGTAATAAATAGCCACTAAGTCTGGTAACAACTGATAAAAATCTCCTTGATGAAGATATGGATTTGCCTAGTCTCTATAAGATAGAGTTAGAGGCTTCATCAATTTAGTTCAATTACGGACGCGGTGGCTCAGTGGCTAAAATGCTGAGCTTGTCGATCAGAAAGGTTGGCATTTCGGTGGTTCGAATCCCTAACGCCGCGTAATGGAGTGAGCTCCTGTTACTTGTCCCAGCGTCTGCCAACCTAGCAGTTCGAAAGCACGTAAAAAATGCAAGTAGGAAAATAGGGATCACTTTTGTGGGAAGGTAACAGCGTTCTATGCATCTTCAGCGTTCAGTCATGCTGGTCACATGACCATGGAGACATCTTTGGACAGCGCTGGCTCTTCGGCTTTGAAACGGAGATGAGCACACTGCCCCCTAGAGCCGGAAAAAAATGAGTATGTATGTGTGAGGGGAACCTTTACCTTTACCTTATGTTGTTTACCTGGCAGAAATATGGACTTTGTTACTGTGTTCTTTCAAGAATCGTTTCTTTTTTTTACTTTTAGCTTTTTCTGACAATCTTCCATTCAAATACTACAGGTAGTCCTCATTGGTTGCTTACCTTAATCCCCCCCAAAAATCTTGGATTTGAAGTTCCAACTTTCACATATCCATCTGCCCTGCAGTCATATCACCACATTTTTTTGGGGGGGTCAATAACTGCCCTGCATTTACAGCCATTTGCAGTGCCCTGTGATTACACGATAACTATTTATGATGGTTTTGCCAGAAACAGGTGTTTACTACTGGTTTCTGGCAAAATGTGCTCCTTAGTGAATGATGAGTTCACTTAACAACTATGATGTTTACTTAAAGAACACTGCAAAAAGGTTTCTAATGTGATGTGACTTTATGAGTCATGATTTATGATTGAAATTGTGGGGGTCAAGGTTAAAGCTGTGGACTACTTGTAATTAAATTCTTGCCTGCTTAGCTTTGAAAATGACTAAACTGTTGGGCACCCTTACCCATTATGCAATTAATTTCACAACTGCATTGATTGGGTGGAGAGAAAACAGTGTTTAAATGTTTCAGCTGAAAACTTCAGCACCACCTTTGTTGCTGCATTCTGCAGAGGGAAGAAGCTTTTTCACTGCAAGGAAACTTATGCTGGATCTCAGCTGTGACAAATATGTAAAAAAAAATATGATGCAATTACACAATTATCTTTTTTGCAATTATTGTTGCATGTGGATAATATGCGGAACAATTATCCAAGAACAATAGTTTAAGGAATGGATTATATACCCTTTATTTATCAACATCTACAAGGAGAACAGGACCAGTACTTGCTAAAATATATTATCCTATCAGTAAGAATCATCTGTTTCTTAGAACTTTAGACCCAACTTTTAGATGTATTTAGCAGAAAATGCCTTAGCTAAGATGGAAGATTGAAAAAAAAAGAGGCTTTTTCAAATTTTAGAGAATATAATAGCAATGTTAATTGTATTTATAAACTTAGGCTCTTTATAATTGTTAGCTATTTTATATGTTTCATGCGCAGGCAGATAGGAAATAAAATTCTAACTCATACAATAACCTTAGACTGTCTACTATTGACCTCACCCCTTTCCTAAGAGGTCTGTAGGGGGCGTGCATAAGTGCACCAACGTGCCTACCATCCCTGTCCTATGGTTTCTTTTATTTTTCTTATATGCATTTTATGTATTCATAACTATGTTTATCCTTATACTTATTATCTTGTAAGTGATTGACAAATCAAATGAAATCAAATAAATAAATAAAAACAAAAACAAAAAAAACAATGATTTTGCATTGCATACCAAATTACAAATGCAGAAGAAACTGCTAAGATATTGAAGGTATTGGTTCTAAATCCCACTTTATTAGTTTTTGTTTAGTTTAATTGTTTAATTGTTTTATCTTTCTCTTGATGGAAACTTTCTTACATGCTGGGTAAGATGGGAAATCCAACATCCTTTGAAACAATAGGATTTTTCTTCTAGTGAAAACTAGGATTCCTCTGGTGATTGAGCAGTTTGTAAAATCTTAAGGCTGGCTATGTTGTTTAATTCTTTAAGAAGTGGGCAAAGTCATTTTTTTTTCCTTCCAGATGCTAGACTTCTTGGTTCCCTGGATGCAGGGTGGATGATGGGAAGATCAGGCTGGCCAATTCTTCTCTTATTTAGACCAGCCAGGGAGCCACACACAGTTAAAAAGGAGAGGCATTGGGATCACTGGCAAACACACATGGTATCAACTGACGAGGCACCATCTCGTTTCCTTCATACTGGAGATCCTTAGAGCTAAGAGTACAGACATTGCTACCCATCTTGCCACAGAGAGCTGGAGAAGGCACTGTGTTGCTGAGAATGCATTGCTGTCCAGCTTGCCACAACTGGTTGTTGAGGGAACTGTGTTGTGGAGTACACATTGTTGCTGGCCAACTTGTCATGGATGCTTTGCCAGGCCATATCACTGCCGGGGTCCCAGCACTGGGGCCCACAGTGGCTTGTGAGGATATATAGTTGCTGAGGAAACATTGCTTCTGCCCATCTTGGGCTGTGAGGATACAGCGTTGGGTAAAGGTTGCATTCTCATTGGCCTTAGCCAGCTGGGATGCTTTTCCTTGGCACAGGTTTTGCAGCACCTTAGGCACAAAGCTTTTGGAAGGATGTTTCACTTGCTTTGTGTTCAACTTGCTCTGACGTTGCTTTTTCTGCGGCTTCCTTGGCTGCCGTTTCTTCCTTTGCTGTGGTTGCTTCTTCTTCTGGTTGTGGGTAGCAGCCATGGTTTCAATTGTCTATGTTCACTCCTGTGACTTGGTGATGAATGCCTCTATATCTCCTTTACATTTGTTATGATATACTGGCTTACATTCAAATGAGGGACTAGCTCTTGGCCTTCTGATTGGTTGGCTAGAACAATACTCTGTTTTGAGATGTAACCATAGTACCTGAGCAGATAGGATCTCCTCATAATATGCCTCTATGAGCCGTTTCTCTGTGCTATCTGTGAAGGTGGGTGAGGTGAGGACATAAAACTTGGATTAAACAGGAATAATAAATTTGATAGAATGTCATTTCAGAATCTAACTGCTATTAAACCATAGTCTTTCTGCATAAAATAATTGGGTGGTTTTTGTCCTCTCTTGTCTTGCATTCATTGGAAGAAAGCAGATCCTGGTCTTTGCATGGCATAATGCAGGGTTGGCAAAGCTTTTTGGCACTGAATGCCGAAACGGAAGCATGTGGGAGCGCCAGAAACTGGAAGAACAGTTCCTCAGCACATGCATGGGAGTGCCAGAAACTGGAAGAGTTGCTCCCCAATGTGCATGCGTGCGCCAGGAAGCTGAGCTTCCAGTTTTCGGTGCATGCATGCGTGCCGGCTACTTGGTTTTCCAGTTTCTGTCAACGCACGCATGCACACTGGGGAGCTGCTCTTCCGGTTTCTGGTGCTTCCGTGTGTGCGAAGACCAGCGGCTGGCGTGCCTGGAGAAATGGCTCTGCATGCCCCTTCCGGCACACATGCCATGGGTTTGCCATCACGGGCACAATGGATCCCAGTTAAAATCAGCTTCATTAAATCTAATTTCTACAGGGTTTGAGAAAATGGAGTGGACACTTCTTTGTTCATTGAATAAACACTTTTTACCCAGATCATAAAATGTAATGAATTACTTATTTGGAGAACAGCAACAGCTTGAAGAAGCACTGCCATCTCCATTAGATAGACCAGACCAAGAAATCAACTACATTTTTAATGGAGATTGGCTATAATAGAATTTTGCTCTACCTCCTTATATTTCAGTGAATTAAGATGTGTCTGCCTGAGCCACTGCCAAATGTTATCTTGTTTTCGATTTGAAATATGTTCCTTTTGCCCAGGTAATGGTTTCTGCATATTTGCATGAAGGTCATCTTCCTTGCTTTCCACAAACAATTATTACTCAAGTTCCTTGCTGTAGTATTGAGGGAATTTTCCGGAAAACACTGTGATATTATGACACTCAAGATAGGATCGTTTATGGTTAAAAGCTCACTTGGTAATTTAATTCCCTTCATTAGAAGGGGAAATTCTGGAGTGCTTGAAAGCCACATATTCAAATACTGGCACAAATAATGACAGATTTTAAATGATAAGATATCAGTCTTGTCTTGTAATTAGAGACTGTAAGAGAGAAGCATGAGGTAAAGAAGCAAAGATGGAAGGGAAGAGAAGAAGATGACCAGCAGCACAATGGATCGACTCAATTACAGCAGTGATAGGTACAATATGAGAAGACCTGACAGACCAAGTTAGGTACAAATTGTTATGGAGAAAATCTAAGTGTACTGTACACTAAGAGTCAACACTGACTTGATGGCACATAATCCATCCGTCCATCAATCATTACTGTAATATTCAATTAGATTGTTTGGAACATTTTTCCCCATTTGTCCTTGGATACACTGTGAACTAGGTGACTCTACCACTCAGTTTCTCAAAATCTTCCTATTATTTCTTTAGCCCCAGAGTTTGAGGTTTTATAGAACCAAAGGTTCAAAAAAATGCTGATTGTAAGTAACAGACCCCTTCTATAATAAACCCAAAGGCCCACTGCACTAGGAAGACTCTGGCAGACCTGTCTGGTTGGAAAAACTGCTCCAGTTTGAAGGAAAGTGGGACGGGGTGTTTTTCATAGGCCCTTCTGTAACCCCTTGTTTGTAGCAATTCTGGTAACAACAGGGAGTAAAGGTAAGAGGACCCAGCAATGACCTTTCCAAATGAAGATTGTTCTAGCATGCCCTTGTTGGAAGAAATATCCTTCTGGCTTCAGTTCCAACTGGGGAAAAAGACACTGGAAATATGGAGGCTGTTTGGAAAGATGGCTTAATGATGGACAGGACCACATGGCTTGGAGCTCCAAAGAAGGAAGGATGATCACAAGCTTCAAGATGTTGGGTGAAGGAAAAGAAGCGAGGGCTGAGATGCCGAGAGTCCCCTATATACCCTCTGTTGGAATTCGAATTTGAGCTTGTATTCTGATTGGTTGTCAGACTCCCATGGGGCTATGCAGGGGCAACTCTGTAGGCTGTCCTTAGTGCCAGGCTTGGGTGAGCCTTGCTGGGTGGTGATGTAATGAAAGGGCTTTGGGCAATTCCTATTATAGCTCTACCTGGAGATCTTTGTTATGTAAAATATTCCGGCCCAGGTCTTAATAACAAAGGTGGGGGTGAGCTTCTGCTTCTGAGATGAGCTTCTGCTTCTGAGGTGAGTTTCTGCTTCTGAGTTTCTACTCTTTTTAGTGGAAATATTCTGTCTTTTTAATATTTCCTAGGATATTTCATTTTTTCTAGGAGAGGTGTGGGTGCTAACTTCCTACACCCTCTAAATTTCTCCTATTTGTATTGCTGCTTGTCAGACCTCAGTAAAACCATGACTGATGTATATGTTAAAGCACACTTTATTTGTGTAAAGTGGCAACTTGTGGAGCGGCGGTAATAACCTGAGGCAAAATTCGGAGCAAACTTCAAACTGTAACTTTATTACAAGAATAAAGGATTGCTGCGGATGCCGAGCTAACAGGGCAGTCAGCTGGTGGCAACAGCTGATGCCGTTTGACAGCTCCTTTTATAGCTGGCTGTCAAATGGCATCAGCCAATAGGAGCGGTCCACGTTCCCGCTAGAAACACGGACTGGAGTGAAGACTGCGGGTTAGTCCATTGAACGCTACACTCCTTTCCCCCAGAACGGAGCATGCGTAGTCTTTAAGGTAGGCTGGGCGCTTGCGCAGGCAGCCGGATAGTCTCAGTTCAGGTGGAGCTGCCGCGGGAGAGAAGTCCTCCGCTTGCTGGGCTGCTTCTGGAGTCGAAGAAGCTGGAGTCTCGGATTC